TTTTTCTACTCCCCTTGGTCTTGCAGCTATTTTTATTTGGTGCTAATTTTCTTTGCTGTGTCACAATGGTATGTGTGCTGGACTCTGGATCAGGCAGTCCGGATTCAAGCCCTGGCTGGCGTCATTTTGTTGTGTCCTTGGGCATTAGACTTTGCACTTTCATGGTGAACTTCATTTTACTTCAACTGCAGGAAAATGTTCAAAAAATCTGCATCCTAATGGACAGTTTTGATGGTATGCATGCGATTATATGTTAGACCAAAAGCATGAAGATCAAAGAATTCTGGAGATGACATTGCTAGCCTTAGAAGCCTTAGGGCGTTTCCCACCTGAGGATATTGTCATGGCAACTCTATCCCATCCTGCCCCAGGCTATCTCCACTCTATTGTTATGTAACTTTACATTGCAGTACACTATCTATAGTTTAGATATTTATTACTTTTTCTACTGTTGTTTCTGTTCAGAGTTTGAACGTGGGTTCTAAATTCCTTCACATGATTTCAAGGCAAAAGAAATACCTAGCTGGAAGCGTTATTAGTTTTTCAACACAACATGTAAGTAAATATTTGGTTTCTGTACATTAATTAAAGAATTAATCAAGTTATTAAAAAATATGTTTGTGNGCAAGGCTGTAGGCTGAGAAACATACTCAAGACAAAGGACACGGGCTTTCTGTATATGGAAAGACTTAGGCCACCATTAAATAACGTGTTTCTGTTGTTGTCGTTGTTGTTGTCGTTGTTTTTTTAAGAAACCTTGGATTGCGTGGAGGATTAGTTTGCGAAACCTTATTGGGGTTGTTCGAACTCGCTAATAAACTGCAGTTCAAATTGACAAGAAACTCAGAGGAATAAATGCAGTAAATTGTATTTCTCTCATGCTGCACTGTGTTACGTTTCTCATAACCAGGAGAGAGTTTCTCCGCAAACAAAACGTGTTTATTTCTTTGCTTTTTTCTTTTTATCTATTTCAGGTAGCAGACCAACAGGCAGCAGTGTTTGGACAGTGTTGTTTTGATGTCGGGGATGTTAACTGTACCATGGGCACCGGCTCATTTATTGATATCAATACTGGCTCATATCCGCATGCTTCTGTAGCAGGTAAGACCGAACATCTGGCAATTTAACCTCTGTCACTTATAATCAATATAATATTAAAAAAATAATAATAAAAGAATGTGACATCGTTTTCTTCAGGCACAAAGTCTTGATATATCTTCCAGCTTTCTTGACAGTACTCTCACTGGTAATTTGTCTTCAACAGGGCTGTATCCAATTGTTGGATGGAAGATAGGAGGAGAGACTGTCTACCTGGCAGAAGGTAACGCGGCAGGCTGCGGAACAGCTATGGAATGGGCGCACAAAATGGGTGTGTACTTCACTGTCATGTTATTAATATATTGGAACCCCGATTTCTCAAACCATTGTTTCGAACCTTCCCATAACTCGAACCAAAAGCCGTATCCCTCTCCTCCTCGAACACTGTAATTTTACCCCCGATTTCTCGAACTACCCGATTTTTCGAACCAATTTTCCTTTCCCTGGGAGGTTCGTAAAATCGGGATTCCACAGTATATGTGTTGTAAGTGGAGGCGGCGTGGCCGAGTGGTTTAGAGCGCTGGATTTGAAATCTGGGGGCCCCTGCCTCAAATCCTCCACCCTACAACTATCTGGATTTGTTCTCGGTAGCCCCGAGTTCAACTCCTCGACCGCGTTGTGTAAATAGCCAACTGGTCAGCCTCCCACCAGTTGGGATTCGTAATAGTTTATGTTCTATTTGAAATATTTGTTCACTTATTTTCAGTGCCCCCAATTAACACAACGGTGCTAAATACATTTGACACTTACATATGGTTAGTTAGTTAGCTAGTTAGCTAGTTAGCTAGTTAGCTAGTTAGCTAGTTAGCTAGTTAGCTAGTTAGCTAGTTAGCTAGTTAGCTAGTTAGCTAGTTATTTAGTTAGTTAGCTGTTAGCTAGTTAACTCAAACGTTGACTCGGGGTTTGAAAGCGAATGTTATTTTCTCTCCATTTAAGGTTATTTTGATGATGTGTCACAGACAAGCGACATAGCGTTTTCTGTAGAAAGTAAGTCAAGTTTCGTTTATCAGTAGTAGATTATTTTCTGTCTTTTTGCTAAGTAAGGTAAAGTCTGCACACGAGCGAAGTGGCTCATCAGGCCGGAGCTTATCGCGGTTTCAGTAGCATGAAGCTACTGGTTGGGATGCCAGTCCATCGCGGGGTTACCCTCAGCGTTAAATTCGCCGGTACCCATTTATACACCTGGGTGGAGAGAGGCTCTGTGAGAGTAAAGTGTCTTGCCCAATAACACAGCACAATGTCCCCGGCCAGGGCTCGAACCCGGACCGCTCGATCCGGAGTCGAGCGCACAAACCATGAGGCCACCACTAAGTACAAATTGCTAAATGTCATTTTTCGTCTTTTTCTTCAGACTCCGACGGGGTTTATTTTGTTCCTGCTTTCAATGGATTACAGGTAAATCATTCAAGATTGCTCAGTGAAATCATCGTCTACACTGCGCCGGTGAAATTTGAAAACGCAGCTTTATTTCTACGGCATGACTTACCGTCCACACTAATTCGTCACGAAAACGGGTCTTATCGAAAACGCTCTTGAAACCGGAGGAATTTGAAAACGCCGGCCTTGCGTTTTCGCGTGTACGGAAAACATTTTGAAAACGGAGCTTTTCGAAAACGATGACGTCACGATCATCACGTGATTACCCTGAACGACGTTTCCTCAAACACAAATCCAAAATGGCCGGGGTTGTTGGTTTTTTAAATTCCTACGGCGTAGTGTGGACGGAAAACATTTGATGCGTTAAGTATCCGAACAATTTCTCACCCTCCTTGAGAGCGTGACGGGTGTTAACCAATGCGTGTTAACCCAAGCGTGTATTCGGAACTTGCTCAGAAAGTCAAAGACATATATTTTTTTCTCTTTTTAGGCTCCTATTAATGACAACAAAGCTTGTGTTTCGCTGATGGGCATAAAATCCACCACAAACAAGGCCCATATCACGAGGGCTATTCTGGAATCCATAGCCTTTAGGTAACTGCTCTACTTTCTAAGTATAATTTGGTGGGAGAGGTTATTTATGATAACTAGACGTGGACTTTTGCGCACTTATTGACTAAGTACTGAGTTATGTCGGTTGGTCTTCTCCGAGAATTGACTGAGATCGCAGTTTTCGGCAAAGAAGTTATTTAAAGTGCCATTGTTGTTAAAACTTTGATATTACTCGCGGGTTCTCGCGACATTTCGTGTACTGGAGAAAAGCAATCGTCCTTAACTGGATTAACTGGCGAGTGAAAGGGATTACGTGCTGTAAATAGTATGTTTTGTCAGGAGTATAGATCAGATAGACTGCGGGTAAAACTCTACGGTAGTTTGGAGTTGCCAGTCATCCTTCGTCTTTTTAACCTTTCACTTTAAACGGTCGCGGCGCTTCTTTTCCGTGCGGGAAGTGGAGTAACTCAACAACAAGAACAACAGTAGTTTATTTGTACCTCAAATCAAAATGAAGTATTTAATTTGGCATAAAATAGGTAACGAGGCACTCAAAGTAACTATATGAAGCTAAACTGGTTAGGTGGCCGTCGGATAACTTTCAAGAGTAGAGAACAGTTTTCTGTTCTTTTCGCCTAATGAGGAACAGTATCTAACAGTTCAAAAATTGTCGCGCGAGTTAGTCGCCAAAAGAATAGACCATATTCGTATTCTCGGTATGGACTGGAACCAGCTTGCATTAGCTTGAGAAGCATTAGCTTTAAACATTAGCTTGCATTGTATTAGCCTCAATTGCAAGCTAGTTCCAGTCCAATACCGGGAATACGAATATGGCCTATATTTAGAATCAGAACAGTTTACGTTGCCAGGCAACATCGCTAATGAAAACCGCGGTTTTTTTGGCGTCCTCAAAGATGATGCTTAGAATAGGAATGTTTTTATTTCTTCAAATTTTTGATGTTATTTTGTACCAATCATTTTCTATCTTGTAGACCCTGTGGAAATGTGACTTTCTTTATTAATAGCTATCACCTTGATTAATTTCCGCAGGTTTACGCAGCTGTATGAAACCGTGGTAGAAGAAACTCATATCCCACTCATGTCTTCAATCAAGTAAGTCTTAAAATGTAACATCCACAAATCGAGTGTTTTTACCCTTTAAAATACATTGAAAAGACAACACTTACATCTTAAAACAAAAGAGAGAGGTGAGCAAGAAGTTGTTGATCTCGTTAGTGTCCTCGAGCGCTACTTTTGTGAGATACAGTTCAAGTTTTCTGGCATCGATTGGTAAACAATGTGTTTTTCAAGTTGACTTCGCTCTGTTGCGAGTGTTTACCAGTCGCAAGGAATGATCATAACCATGACTTCAGTTGTATTCTAATTGCAACGTACCCTGCCAGACCATACGGACTTGATTATTTATTGCATTCACTTAATTATTCGTTGTATCACGTGGCAAGTTATACTGCTAGCAGCCG